ACCCTAAACCCTAAACCCAAAGGAGCGAGATCCGGAGAGCTTTGCCCGGGTAGAAGAGCAGTCGAAGGCAGCTCAGGAGTCTCTTTTGGGAGCTGAGGGAAGTGCTGCTTAGAGGTTCATGGGTAGTTCATAGAAGAAAAAATAGTTATAAATACGTAGAGGTTCATGGGTAGCTATAAGTATAGTTATAAATACGTAAGGGTTCCTTTAAGGGTTCTGTCGGGTTTGGGTTTAGGGTTCAAGTTTTCGCGTGATAAGTAGGGACATAAGTCCCCTAGTATGGGTTATACAGTACTGTAGATACCCATGAACCTCCAACTAGGGTTCGGCATATTCCTTGAAAGGGTTCCTACAAGCGTTCTGCATGGTCTAGGTGAGGGAAGTGTTGTGTGACAGGCGTTGAAGTACGTTTTTTGGTGCTATTCGGGATCGCGGGGCTGTGAGGGTTTCGGGTTTGGGTTTTAGGGTTTCGGATGCTAGAGTTTAGGGGGCCCTTGGAGTTTTAGGTTGGGTTCGCGGGAAGGGGTGTTCAGAGATAGGTCCGAAAGACAGAGTGGCACGCAAGCTTCCAGGATTCAGCCGCAGGCTTTAGAGTTTCGGGTGCTGCAGCTGCTGCTGAGCATGACAACGGAGCTTCTTCAGTGTTCGGGGCTCGCGTAGCTGGAAGGCATGGCTTTCGGTAGCAGCTATAGAGTTGGAGGTAGAGGCAAAGGGGATCATGGCTGCCTGGCACAGCTGATTCACTCCTGCAGCACACACGGAGCGCCAAGACGCGGCAAACCAACACATGCAAGATTTGATCACAAGGCAACCCAAGTTCTCGCAGGCGAAACCAGGGCATTGACCAACAGGAATTGTCTTTCAACGGCTCTCCGGCCTTGCCCGATTGGTTCACCGTCACTTGGAAGCCATTGCTCTGCGGTACTTTTCTGTGACTGGAATGCGTATCTCATTCGAGTAGCTTGTCTCCAAGCCTGGCTTGCGCCCTCGGAGGACCGTGCAGAGGCGGCCCTGAAAGCGCACCGCCAGACACGCCACACGTCTGAGAGCTTGTCTCACCCTCCCTCTCCCTCTCGTTGTTTGTGATGTGTCTCTGTGTTTCCAGAGCATCTTGTTCCAGGTCTTCCGAGCAGCTGGGTGGAACTGGTTCCTGTTGTGTGTCAGTGTAGAACTTTGGGTTTCAGCCCTTTGCGAACGTGCAGGTTCAGGGAGGATATCGTCGTAGTTGGCGCATTCAAAGCCGGCCTTTAACTTTAACCTTGCAAAGCCTCTTCAGGTCTTGCGCTGTGCCGGCAGCAGGCCGCAGCAGTGGGGGTCACTCACATGTTATATTAGCCGCTCGAGCACAAGGCTCCTTCAACTGCCTTCGGCCCTGCAAAAAACTAACAAAGCACGCCACAAGGACTTGTCAACTGCCTAATTCCACACCTCTGGAGCCGCTGGAAACATTACCTAAAACTCTGAGCGCTGCACCTCGTCTCAAACACCAAACCTCTTCCTCCAGGTATCCCCAGACCGAAACGCGGGGTGTCACATGGTAAAACGTAGAGCATATTCGTTTACAAGAGACGGACCATCCAGCAACAAGCAGACAGGCTTCTAAGAAGGACGGCGAGGGTGCCGAAACCACCGACACCATCGAGCGAAGCAGGCGATTCCGAGCGCGAGCATGCTTCATCGGGGATTGGGTTTAGAGTGTAGGGGTTTAGGGTTTAGGTGCAAGCTGTTCTGGTCTACTGTTTAGGGTTTTGGGTTGAGGGTGATGCCATGTTTTTTTTTGCAAGAGTCCGATTAAACGTAGCCTCCACCTTTTCGGTGCAAGATGTACTCTGGCACAGCTTGAGATACAACGTGCCCTGCAAAGGCCCAAAACAGCAGGATCATAACATAATAGTGGTGACCACAGTAGAGCATCATATAGACTGTATCATCGTAGCATCTTGCAATATGCCAGATGTTATTCCCAGGACGTGTCAATGATGATGTTAATTTTACTCTGTTCCGAGACTTCAAAGTGTTACATGCAACCGCTTCACAGTCCGACCCGTGTCTGCAAAGCATGCAGCGCGGTACAAAGAGCAGCACCGCGACTCTTCGTCTTCGATGGCACGTCAGTACTGCTAAAGATACTACCGTCAAAGAGCACATCGAGATTGAGATCGTCATCCGAGATGGAGTAACAAAATGGATAAGCCAGACTACGTTTTACTGTCTCTGTAGATCCGAGAAAATCGCCCCGGCAAAGGCATGAGACGGCAAAAGCAGTCGCCCAAACGGCCGAGGCCTTGCTGTACACATCATATGTATATAATATAATATAATTTAATATAATATTATATAATATAGTATTATATAATATTATATTATATTATGTTATATTATATTATATTATATTATATTATATTATGTTATATTATATTATATTATATTATATTATATTATATTATATTATATTATTCCCGAAAGCATCGCGAAGGGTTCTTCCGTGCGGAGCCTCGCAGAGAAAATACATAGAGAATACGTGGAGTCAAGTACACTTGACTTTACCACACTTGACTCTACGACACTTAGCTTTACCACACTTGA